CCTCTGTCCCCTTCTCCCCAAATGCAGCCTCTTCCCTCATCAAGAACTCTCACAGAGGAGCCATGGACAGACTTTTGTTTTCTTTATTCAGCCACGACTGCACGCTCCTATGTGACTGTCCTATGGACTTGGGGACCAGGTGGTCCACCTGCAGCCTGGGGGAGGATGTCCCTATAATGAACACGCTGCCTGGGCTTCAGGAGGCCACTCTGGTGGCCAACATGGCATCCAGGACACCCTCCAAGTGCACCACCTGCACCTGGTGGAAGCCGTGCAGCTCCAGCAAGCACTGGTACTCGCCTCTGCTCCGCTCCCTGCCCTCAGTCTGCACCAGCATGTTCAGCGACTGTATCAGGCCACCCTGCGCCTCCCTCTTCTCATCCAGGAGTGTCTCCACCAGCAGCAGGCCGGCCCCTGTGGAGGGAGAGCAGAGAGCTGGAGTCCTGGCCAGCCAGGCGGGGATCCTTCAGGGGAACACAGCGGGCAATGGGAGCTCAGAGCTGTGAGCAGAGGCTGCTGAGAACCCTTACACAGGGAGGGGAGGGGAGTGAGACAGAGACGATGCAGGGCGGACGGACAGGGAGGAGATTAGATCGAAAGATGGGTGGATAGATGGATGCATCACCTGGGCCCGTTCCAGTTCTCCTGGATGGATGGATGAACAGATGGTAGATGATGGGCAGGTAGATGAACGGATAGATGGTTGCATGGATGAGATGGATGGATGGGTGAATAGATGGTAGATGATGGGCAGATAGATGAATGGATAGATGGATGCATGGATGAGATGGATGGATGGGTGAATAGATGGTAGATGATGGGCAGATAGATGAACGGATAGATGGATGCATGGATGAGATGGATGGATGGGTGAACAGATGGTAGATGATGGGCAGATGGATGGATGGATGCATAGATGAGATGAATGGGTGGGTGAATAGATGGTAGATGATGGGCAGATAGATGAATGGATGGATGGAGGCATGGATGAGATGGATGGATGGGTGAATAGATGGTAGATGATGGGCGGATGGATGGATGCATGGATGAGATGGACGGATGGGTGAACAGATGGTAGATGATGGGCAGATGAATGGGTGGATGGATGCATGGATGAGATGGATGGGTGAACAGATGGTACATGATGGGCAGATGAATGGGTGGATGGATGCA